AAAATTCTTAATTTCTTTAGCATACTAAACCACACTAACTTATTAGTCACCCGATAATGTTACACATGAAATATTGTATAGTATGAAAATACAAAACGCTGTCAATAAATATTCAAAAATTTGTCTCAGAATGGTCTAAACTGGTTCAGGCGTATTTAATTAGCAACCTTTTGGCACTCGAAAGTCTACACAAATGGAGAACAGAAAGTGATTTTTAGGTCGAACATTCCAGCCAGTGCTTTGATGGCTGAGCTGTTGGAGATTACAGTGGCCAGATCTGTTGCATATGATATAATTTCTTAAAAAATAACAACCTCATTAAGGAGAATAAAGCAGGGTAAGGGTTTGGGATAAGCTAATCTTAGTGCAGATACTTCAAAAAAAGTATTCTGAGGTTGCCTAAACTAAAACTGTGATTGATCAATTACCAAACTTGATCAAACAGCTGCGATTGTATATACAAATATCAATTGTTAATCTCGAGCTTTGTTTTGAAGAAATATGATAAACTTCTCAGAACTACGACTGAAGCAAAAAATAAAAAATATTCGTCTTACGCTGCGTAACAAATCGAAAATTTGTTTCTCTTGAGACATCTTTTTTCTGCTAAAAATGTTCAAATATCCTATAACAATTAATTTGAGTAACAAACTAAGTCGAAAAAAAGGCATATTCGGCGTTCTTCCAAAAATTATGTTTGTTTTCTAAAGGTTTTCTAAGTTTACAGAGAAAAAGCTCTTTTAACTTAAAATTTAAGACTTTTTTTTATTAGTTAACCTTTTTTCAGCAAAATTTTTTTTGTTATCCAATACAATGTTTATAAAAATTTTTAACTCTTGCAGTTTTTGTTTTTTTTTTTTAATGCCATATTTTGATGGATAAGTAGCCATTATTTAATACGCTTAAATTCCCTTCTTAAAGATCGTAATAACCGATTGGTGTTGACCAACCGATGATCAAATGGATTTTTTGCTGTATAATACTCTTATCAAGCGAATTATTTGTAGTAAACTCGTTTATTAAAGCAAAATTGTTGTAAATTGGTCTCACGTATAAAAACATATTATTTCTGTGAGGCAGATAATCTTTAGCATATTTACGTCAAACGTGCTGTATATTACTGTTTTATATTGACTGTATAAATTAGTAAGGTTTTTTCAGCAGTTCTATACCCATCTTTGTCATTTTACGTGCTGTTATATCAGTAACCGTCTGTTAAGGTTTAGTACTTTTCTTTTTTTTATTATTCCGGGTTGTTTGATCTGTGCCCATCTTTCACCATTCAGTTTTACAAAGTTTTAACAAACCATTTTGAAAGTAGGAAGATTTTTGAGAGTAAAATAGCAAAAAAAAGTGATGAAACTTGAAATTTTCCTATTGACTCCAGTACCCTTAACTGTAACTTTTAGTATTATTCAATAAACCGATTACTGTTGCTACCGTTTCTAAAATATCTGAACTTTACCGAAGCAATAAATGTTTGTACAATTTTTTTTCTTGCAACAAAGTGTGCTAAGAAAAACAAGTAGTTGCCATGAACAATGGTTTCAAGTTATAGGAAAGCACTTATGGGTAGAAAAAAAAATGTCTTTCTTTTTTTTTTATTCTGATGATTAGCTGAATTTTAGATCCTCTTCTTTAAGCTTATTTAGCTTTCTCTTACCAAATATATTTCAGTTGAACAGGTTTTTTTTTTTAAAGATGAACTAGAGAAAACTTTTTCAAGTTTTATCAAGAGTATACTGTGTAATTATCCATCAACTATAAAAGTCCCAAAAAATAAGTTTATAGTCAACTAATGCAGTCAATTGTTTGAGTGGAGTTTATTGCGAAGATCCTAACTTGCCGGTTATCGAATGAAATGGTAAGACAACGGTTGTGTATCCCTATTCTTATGGATATAATTGAAGTGTGTAGGTTTTTATGCCAGTGCGTGTGCTCGTATGTACGTATAAAAATAATTTGTAAATATTTTTTAAAATAATGGAAAACCTATTGCAAAAGTGGAGTAGTATAGTGATCACTGATCTTGGCAGCAAAACCAACAACGACGACCAAAACAACAACAACAGCAATTCGCCGCCGTTTTAACAATCTCTGTGTAAACAATAAACAACGGATCGCGCCAATGAGAAGCGATGGTCGCAGCGGTAACCGCACACTGCAACGATGGGTATATGTTTTAAGTATTTGTAGTTGACTAAAGTGGATGCACGAAGAGCAGTTGCTGGATGTGTCCGGCCGCTGCAACTTGGTCACCACCCCAGGAGCTACAATCAACAGTTGCTGTGTTCCATGGTTATTTTCTGGCAAATATTCTGGCTTTGTTCAAGTAATCGCTCCGTCGAATTTTGCCTGTGCTGCCGTTTCTTCGTTCCAACTGAATGTTTATTTGTCGTCTCAGGGACCAATATTTTTTTCTTTCTTATATTTCTATGCTGGTAGAGGTCTTAAAGAAGGAATGGTTACCACTCCGACACCAATGTTCAATTTCGAACTTTTCTGCCGCTCCTATGTTTATAGAGAAGCAGCGGTTATAGTCGCCTCTTTCCTCTCCCCTTCCTTCTTTCCCTCTTTCCTTTCTGCTTCCTTCTCATCTTTCTGCTTGGCCCGTCCCCTGCTGTACTGATGTTTAATATCAAAATGGTTTAAGATGGGATGCCGTAATTTCGTGTTTTAAATTTTGTTTTTTGACTAAATGATTCCGAACAAAGAAGATTTTTGAGTTATGGTGCCCAAACTTTACCGTCTTATAGTCGAACGTACGTATTTGTATATTTCGATTTTTGTTCTGGAGGCGGGTAAGTGTAAGCCAAAGTAGCTCGCCGTTTTGACATTCACTGCTCAGTGCCGTACATAATGGAACTGGAAATCGTAGACTGACGTTGCTTTGTAAAAGTTTTCACATTATTCGAAACTCAGTTAATGGAACTGACCTCGTTCTTAAAATTACACAGGCATTTTAGCGAAACTGTTCGGCTTTTCGATGGCCACTGAAAAATTTAGTGGGAATTATCGACACTTCATTTAACGGACTATTTTTTTCTTGTTTTGCAGTATATTGACAGCAAGTTACTTTGAAACTTTTATCTAATTACTGCTTTTCTGCTGCCCACTGCAACTAGTATTTATGGTATTCTTGTCGATGATAATCTAGGTTTCAGGTCCCACTCTTCGGAGCTTCTTAGGATTTTACATCGGTTATGTTTCAGAGGATAAATACCTTTTTCAAAAAGAACAGGAAAAAAACATCTTGAAGTTTTATCAGAGATTATTTTTTACACCGATCAACGATCAAACTTTTCAGTTATTTTTTTATCCGAACTTCTTAACTCAGTTACGAATACTTTTTTATGATTATATATACCTGCCATTTTGTTATCAAATGCAGTTGTTTGCATATTATAGTTAAGGCGATTTTATAAACCCGCCATATCGGTATTTCTAACTGATGGTTGGCTATAAAACCCCTGTGATCAGCTTCCGAACTATTTTTATTTTTACTCTTACTTTTACTCTTATTGTTATTATTATTGTTATTTTATCATTATTATTAATACCATCATTATTACTATTTATTTATTTATTAGTATTAATTATTGTTATTATTAATATTAAAAAAACAGTTTTTGAACAAAATTGTTGTGATCATTGTTTATTGTGCTCGACTGATTTTACCGCTGTAATTTACGTGGAAGAATTTTATTGCATCCACGAAGATGACAGAGCTCGGCGGCAAAGCACTTAATCCATGGATTGCCGTTTGTTGTTGCTTTGTTTCTTTGAGAAGGCTTCCTTCAGAAAGCAGAAGCAAAAATCAAATTAATTACTTTGTTTGTTGGCTTCAGAGTTTCTGATCACAAAAAAGGATTGTTCTCCTTTCACGGCGGCGTTCCGCTGTTTAAGACAACGCGACAAGGGTGGCAAAATCTCGTTTTGTTTGTTGAATATTACTGAAAACATGTTTTAGATTCGTGCTCACTTTCTTCGGCAGTCATACTCTAACGGCCACCACAAGTGTTTTCCGTCACTACAAACCGCCTAGTGTTTCAGGCCACAAGGTTTTAGTTTTACAGAATATATATGACTGCCTTGAAACCACGTTCTTCATTTGACTGCCGTTTCTGTCTTTTTTAGGCGTTATTGCTACAAATGTTTATAGAAGAATTTTTTACTCTCTGTAAAAATGCTGTTTGGTGAAGCAGGTACTGAGTTGAAACACGTCGTTTTTGAGTAGTGGAGTTACTGCCAATGATGCTCAGGGTTTTTTATGCTTTTTTGTTTAAGTGTTCTGTTTCTAACCTTCCTAAATTGTTACCGAAAAATTATTGGGGAAAGAAATACGATATTACTCAGTTATTGTACAGTAGTACTCCATAGATCTTCAAGGCAGTTTCGAATCTATGGAAAGTTTGCATACTACAGTTACTGAAGTAGCCTTTTTGCTGTTCTTTAACTCCTGCTGTGTTATTTTGTAAAGATCATGTATAGTGCTTGTTTGTTTTAAGATGGAATTGAAATTCATCGGTATTAAAAAGCGGCGAACTTACCGGGAAGCACGTTCCAGATGGAGGCGCACGATGCTTTAAGCTTTAATTTCTTCAACGCTTTAAAGGTGAGCATTTTAGAGACTGTCATAGGTGCTCTTTCCTTTGAAAGATAATTGTTGCAACTATTGATAAGTTATTTTCATGTGTTATGCTGGACTGGATATTTGCTCTAGATAGGGTTTACATTATAAAAGGAGTGAGCGAAGGTGTTTCTCAGACAGCGTTGGGTGATTCTGAAAACGTTTTCACCTTTTAGATTCAGATTACCCAATAAACAGACACAAGACTTTCAGCTTATTTTCCCTCAGTTTGTGTTTATCGGTTTATTTAGTGACGGAATCAAAGTTACGTAGCAACAAAATTGTTGTTTAATCATTATTTTTAAGCTTTAGTTCAATTTGAAAAATGCAGTCCACTTTCTTTTCTAGTATCTCCGTTGGCTGCCATAGTTGTCAGTTCCAGAATTTTCTTCTTAATTTAACTGGATGAGCCCAGCTAGTGCTCTATTCAGTTTTTCTGAAGAACTGGTTTTTTAACCTCTCATCCTGACTCATTTTTTACAGGCCATTCGCTCCGATTATCTCCTTCGCGTTATACCCGACATAAACCTACTGGATGTCTGGGAAGGAATGCTATTAGATGTTGTCGGTAACGTCTCGAGCATTGCTGGATTACGAAATGTACGAGGGTTCTCTACTTCATACATCTGTATCTCACATGATTTTCGACGGCAGCGTATTCGTTTCCGATCCTGAGCAGATCATTTTCACCATCGAGGATTTTTGGCAGCGTGTTGTACTACAATGTGTATTTCACGGCCGTATTATTTATGTTCAGAACTACTGAGCTCGTTGCACAAGTTTCTAGTATTGGTTTGCTGCTGAGAAAGTTAGTTTGCCCGGGAAGTTGAGCACGATTTATTTGCAGTGACGATTAGGAAATATAAGCTGTAAAATAACAAATTTTTATTCTTTTTTCTAAAATTATATGGAAGTGAGTGGCAAAAATTGGAATTTTTTGGATGGAGACTCGCTTAGGATTCTGCAGTTGCCTCCTTCCGGTTCAAATGCAAGGCGTTTTTGAAGAGCTTGGGCGTCAATTTTTTTTGAATTTGTTGTCTTTGAGCTCCGCCTTGAACAACATTAGTCCGACGGTTGAGGTGGCACAGTTCCAGTGGCTTGAGTCTCTCCAAACTAAATTATATTTCATGGGATATATGTTACTGAACATTGTACGAATGAAGACGCTTAGCCAGGTTCCATCACCATATAATTCGAATCCTTTTTCTGCACAGACAGTGATCCCACTACTTATTCATTGGAGAAACAGCTTTGATGCTTGTGGTTTTTATCCCTTCTTAGAGTTTATTTGTAATGGAGAGCTTTTGGTAATATTAACTATCGTTGGTGATAGATAAGCGATGATATGAGTTCAGAAAGATCTCCATTTAGAAATGTTGAGTAATGCGTGTTCATCACATTAATCACTTTTGTTCTTTTGTCGGCATTTGTACAGTTCTGCATTAATTAAGAGGTTGCTTATGTTAAGTGGTGTGCGTTCAGTTTTGAAATCTGTACAGAGCAAACTTTTCATGATTGTCATGACCAGTATTTTTTTTAATACTTTTATTGTTACCATTACATTGGCGGTTTTTTGGTATACATTAGTAATTCCAGTCTTAAAACTCTTAATGCAAAGTTTTTTTGAAAGTCCACACAGAAATCATTGAAACCGACTGCTCATTGAACGTCGAAGTGAAACTGGAGGTTGACTATGTTTTACTGCAGCAGTCATATTACGCTGGTAGTTTGTAGCATTCATGTTTTAATAAACTGAGAATCTGATTCTGAGTAGTCATATAATTAATGGCATTTTGCACAATACCTTAAAAACTTGGCCGTGGGGAAACGAAACCGTTGTACGGACTTGCTAATTACGGCTTGTAGCGGTGAAGCTAGGTTCTTGACAATCTCCCTCTTGTAGCGACTTAGGCGGATGGAATGTGACAGTGAATCACACCGGACGTTTCCTCCAAAGCTTTTAGTAAGATGTGTATGCGGATTAGTCCCACTCAAATATTTCTCTCTGAATATACCTTCTAGAGACTCAATTAATTTACTCGCTATTTCCTGGACTTGTTTAAGAAACATCACAAACCAATTCCCTAGTTTCCGCTAATTTGCCTCGTCTAAAAAATAGGGTAGGTAGACTTGGACAACTTACTCTGCCAGGTAGACTTCATTATCATCAAGAAATACATCCATAACTAAGTCTTCGACGGTAGTATAAAATAAAGATCAAGGTCGAAAGTACAATGGGAACAAACAGTGAAGGGCTCTATTTTCATAATATATAAGTAGACTAGAATTTACGAAAGGCCTATAAAATGTTACAAATGGGATAATACTAAGTTCATCTAGAGATAGCAAAAAAACCCGTAAAAAATACAAAAGCGACATCGCAAGATTGCACGGAAGAATAGTTGGACAATACAGTTACCAGCTCTTGAAGTCAGATAATAGTTCGGAGAGCATCTCATCAAGATGACTTGCAAGAGTCTGGAGATCACGATTTGCAACTTTTGGAAGACTAGAGGCTTTTTGTTTTTCCTGAATGGCGTTCCACGTCTTTGCTACCCTCTCTAAACGCGAACGGATTTCACTTAATTTGAACCCCTCATCATGACGGTGAATGTACAGCCATATATAACCATACTGCAGTAGATAGTAAACCTAAAACTTATAAAAATAACGTAGACTGGACAACAGTACCTTAAAAAACATGAATGATGTCCATCAAATGGCACACTAGGATTAAGCAAACAGTTAAACCCTCATTCCGAAATATCAGTAAACAGAAAAAAGAATGAGCACACAAACAGATATATTGACAACTAACCGCTGCGGATCGTGATCTCGTTACTGGCAGACTTCCGGATATTATACCAGTCCTTTCATCATCATTCCGCAAATACAGACGAGACCTGCGCATCTGCGCCGCCTCATACCAGTGTCTACAGTAGTCTGCCTCTACATAATATGTTGGGCAATACTCTTTAACAAGCACTGCTGGCATTTCCGATGCCTTAATACGGTACTTAATATCAACTGATTATCTACCGGAAACTCAGACAGCAAAAATCAAGTTTATTATAAGAAAGCAAAGGACCAACAATACTAGAACTAGTGCCACATGCTTCTAGAAAGTCTCTGCACTGAAAAGCAAAATTTCAACCTCACTTTGTACTGTCACAGTAAATCGATGTTCGTCAAAACTGCTGTAAATTCTTTTTCTAAGCAGTCACAAATTATCATGGATAAAACAATTTTACAACCTTTCGCCACTGTCCATCGAAATAAATTCTATCACTACACCATTTCTCAACAATCTTCTCTCCAGTTTTCCAATCATAATAACACCAACTATGGCACGGGCAGCGCACACTTGGAACCAAGTCACCTGCTTCCATCTCTTTCTTGCACATAAAGCATTTACGAATAAGCATTTTTTCTTGTAACTCTCCTTTGAGTCGCAACGCAACATACTTTCCTAAAAAGGTTGATAAACCGGCTTTTGAAATCCTAATTCAAGAGAACCTCGAAGTGCAAAAAAAAACCTGTCTGCTTAAATTTCTCCACCCAATATTCAGCTTCCATGCATCTTAACGGATGATGTGGAGGGCTTCCACATTTAGAACAAAAACACAAAAGACATTTAGTGCATCTAAGGGCACTGTAGCGGAGTAACTCTGGAATATCACCTATTCCCAAACAACCAGGACAACAAATTGTTTCCCGATTGTTCAACTTCTCCAAAAGCTTAAAACTTCGACGAACATAAAAAATGAAGAAAGGGATTGGCAAAAGGCACTTGATAATCTCCAGTGGAACGGTGCTCGCGCAAGATTCTGACTGAAAGTAGGAAATACATTTACATTTGCGGTACACGAGACCTAACATAAAAATAAAAATTTAATACGAAAATTTCAGTTACCGGGCAACGTAGAGGATAGACATCAGTGCGCAACTGCGTAATCAAAGAATTCTTCAAGCAGCGGACACAGACGCTGTGCAAACAGTTTAATAAAACTCTTCCAGATGAAGGAACAATGTTGCAGATTAAGCATGCAGCGGCCTAAATCAGTTAGATAGCAAAAACAGCTAAAAGAACATAAAAAATCCGATGCTTTCACTCCTTGCTCATTAAATATCCAAAATTAAATAAATTAACTCGATTCAAAAAGAAAGAAACACATGAAAGGCTTCTTCATTGAAGATAAGGAAAATTAAAGCAGTACCTTTTTAGGTTCAATTACTTCAAAATCACCAAATTCTTCCCTGCCATTTCCTCCATGTGTTCTTTCCACCAGTTTAATCAAATCTCCATCATCCTTTGTGGCTAAGTCGTCAAAAATTAACTCGCAATATTGATAATATTCAGAAAAACAGCCAGAATCTTTTACGTCAACACATTTTTTTCCTGGAGTTTCCCCACCAGGGAACTTGTAGTCCGGATAACTAATGTAACCACACATTGCATTACTAAAAATGTACATTATTCAAAGTTATAAGAAAGTACAGCGAATTATTTCAAAGAACTTAGAAACACTAACTGAGGATCATTCCAGTCATTAAGCGATTCGACACACCAGTTTACCAATTCTCTGAGATTTCGAGGTGACCTTTCCAATAACTGACTTTGAATTTTTTCCGCACCATATGTAAAAACGAATGCACCATCCATATGTATACTGAAAATGAACAATAGAAAAAAAAGATTTTCTGGAAAAATAAAAAGTAATTCACTAAAACCTTACTAAATAGCTGTTGGAGGCTCCAACTGGAACATAATATTCAAAGTTGGAAATATTTTCAACGACTCATTTTCTCTTCGAAGAAATATTTGAACTGCGAATGCCCTGTTGGTGGTGGTTAGCCAGACGAACTTCGCTCCTTTCGGAAGAATGTCGACAATTTTGCTAGCTTCATTTTCAAAACTGTTCTCCTCCCAACCACAAATTTCATAAGCAGTGTCAAATTCGAATCTGCTTGAAACCTCTTTAGGCATTTCAACGAGTTTTGGTGTGAAATCTAACGACTTAGACACCCTGCTTTCTGTCTGAACAAAAAATTAAGTCAATGATTGATAAGTGGTCTCTACACTTATATATCGCGGACGACCCACCTTTGTCGGTTCGGCCTCCTTAGCTGTTTCTGGTTTTTGTTGTTTAGGATAGGTAGAAAGAAATTCTCCTATACTAACATCCTTGAAATATAATTCCTCCCGAGAAATGTTACGCACAAAAAGGTCGTCTGCTGAGAATAATTCATCAGTTGCAGAATCAACATCCGAATCATACCAGTTACGTTTATTATGCACTCGCGTTTTCCTACCTTACAAAGTAAGACACTCATAAGTCTCGCAAAAACTTTTGACCATCAGTTGGGAAGATGACAGCCATAGGCCACTGATGAAGATGCAACTTCTTTGGAAAATGTACAGATAACTTGTGGAAGTCAAAAACTTCTAACCGTGTTTTCTGCTTTTATTCGCCAATGAAGGTAAACATCTGGAGATCGTGTAAGCCGTCAAATTTAAAGGAACAATTTCTTTGTGATCTTCCAGTTCCTCTTCTCCTTCCCTTTTCCGTTTCTTATTAGAAGCTTTCTTCTTCTTTTTTTGTGACCAGGAAGTTAGTGTGTTGACCTGGAGGGTAATTTATTTAAAAATTATCAAAATTAAATTGCCAGAGATAAGTGATAAGTGTATGCACTAAAATCCAGTACACCGCCTAGAAGAAAATTTTAAGAAGTACAAAACCAACACTTCCAGGAAGTTGAAGATCATGGTCGACCCCTTCGCAACTTTTATAGTATTTGGATTTCACAGCACGTTTTGCTGAAAAAAAAATAGAAAACCTCTCCAAACTTGTCTCTTCAAAGTACACCGCATTAAAAGTAAGAAATAAAAAAGTTAAGAATATTTACTGACCCTGCAGGTTAGATAAAACCTGTTCATGAACGACGACAATCTCTTGTTTTTCAGGAGAATTCCTTAGTAACTGTAACGATTGCATTGTCGCAAAGCGATACTTGCGATTCATTGAGTACGGCACATTCAATGTCAAGCCGCTTTCCTCAGATCCGTCCTAATAAAACAAACAAACATGTGTAAACTTCAACTGTTAATTAGTGATTGTAACGCCAATACGGAATTTCTAGCCAAAAACAGAAACTTGTTTTACTTAACAAATAACTTACTCGATAATGCTTTGAAGAAGATTTGTTGTCACATTTCACAATAAGATAATCTCTAGCTTTGCCATTAGTCAAATTCCTAAATGGGTTTCTTTTGGCATTCTTCATGTTCTTCCTCTCATAGAACAAATTTCTTTCTGAGTAAGCCAACAAAGACGATTCTTCCACGGCATCCATTTTTACCGTAATTATCGCGCTGAGTTGAACAAAAAAACTTTATTACGCTATTTTGAAAAAGAACGAAGTTAAGTGAGCACCAAGCTAAATGCGAAGTAACGATGTTTTAAACAGGTATAAAAAGCTTGAAATAGATGAACATGACTAGAAAAGCTGGAAAAAATAGGCTGGCGAAAACAAATGACGAGCAATTACAAAACGATAAACACAGAAAAAAAATTTAGAGCCTGTTTGTTCAAAGCAACCTTATTTTTTGCTTGTAACCATAGAGTAGATCAGCTGACTTTTGAATATGCATTAAACCCTATCAAAGTTCTCGCCACTTCTGAAAGTAGGGTCTACGGCAGTAACAATGGTAAAAAACGGTGATTCTTGGGTGTAGTCAAGTTACTAAATATCTTTTTTAGCAGTCGAAGTAAAACAGTTTAGCGGCAAAATCCCCAGGGAAATTTGATTACAGGAATCGCACCGCTGAATTGACCAACACCCCTCTTAAAATTCAAAATTAAATGCAAACTACAAAGCAATATTCCTATTATTCTGACTTGAAACAAAATACAGGGTAGAAAAAAACCTCCACCCATCCATTTTCCTAGAACCAAGGTTCTTTACTAACTGCTCTAAGTAAGCAATGCAATAAAAAACGGCAAAAATGCAAAAGCTGAATATAAGACCGAAAGCCGTTTTCGTTTATGTAATTGATAATTTTTTAACTTGACGTTCAATGATCAAACTTTTAGGAACAGAAATTGTATAGTTTTTCTAATTAGACTTTCCAGAAGCCACACTTATTGCATCTTATCGTTTTAATATTGTAAACATACAAAAGTTTAGTTTTATGAAAAACTTGACCAGATATGGACAACATTATCACATGAGAAGTTGCACCACACAATCGGTAAGCAATACTTTTTGGCAGCATAAATAGCAATTTTACAAACGCATGGAGTCTTCAAAACAAAATTTTAATGCGAAGTAAAAGAACAAAAACCTCCATTTCCAAAAAATAAAAAATAAAATCCAGCACCCACTAGATTCCCGTCACCATCGATGACAAGAATTTAAAACAGTGAACAGCTGATACTAAGAAATCAAAGCTCTTCGCAAGCGCTATATAGTCGGCACCCGATTGCACAACATTGACATAACTGACTCATTACACTTTCTAAGCATTCTTTTCTGTCTAAACCTCTTCAAGTTACACAAACACTTCACAGTATTACCACATCTGTAGTGTCATTGAAACTAGCCTGCGGGCTGCGGTGAAATGTCACTAAGCGAAAGGGGCTGGTAACTCGGTAGACCAGTCTGTTTACTCGTCGTCTGTTTCCAAGCTTCTCGTTCAATCTTCCTTTTGGACTTCTTCGACACTTCTAGCATAGTAGCTTATAATTATGGAACAAAACAGTAAAAAGTGAGCTGAAATGACAACAATGATAGAACCACTGGTTTAGTACGGTTATTATAAAAAAAATTTTGCAGTTCTTTTGCTGAAGTAACCTCCAGGCTCCGCTCTGAATATGGACATATCGCATTTTGTGAATTTTTACTGCTCAGCAAAATCAACAGAATCAGTTGACGGATCATTTAATAGTTCTTTGATCCAAACAAATTGTGGATCAAATTTTGTGATATGGCAACGAAAAAAGTTTTTGAACTGTTACTGTAAACAAAAGTTTTATAGATGAAAAATTTATTCATTTGTTATAAGTACGATTGTCAACTTTATATAGGCAAAGGATAGCAGCAGTTCGGCCATTCTGAGTATCTTCATTCCATTGGCATCACATAGCCCTTTTGATTACAACGATCTGTACTACAGTAACAGGTTGTGACGTCGCTGTCACGACTACAACTTTCCATAATTACAGGTGAACAGTTGCCATCAATACGCTTATTATTTCCAGCTACAAATTATCAGGATTAATGGTCAAGGGATAAAACGTGTTATACAGTTTGGTAAAATAGATTGTATAGGGGTCAAAATATGATGTCTTAAAACTTCACTGATGTTGGTTGTATAATTATCAGTTCTGGTGTATAATAACCTACAGTTTAC